ATATTGGGCTCAGACCCTCAGCATTTGCAGTCATGGCTATTCTAATGTATTCTTGCAGGCAGATGATATAGCATCTATTATTAATCTTGTTAGATAAGTCCCACTAAAAGGCCTTCTTTCTGATTATTTATAATTTTGCCAAACTTGACCCAATGAAGCTGAAACTGGTTTTGCTTTTAGCGAGTTCTTTTTTATTGAAGCCAAAAAGGATTTCTTCTTTCCCTGCAAATAATAGAAAATGTTACAAAAGTCTTGCAATATTTTTTTTTCTGAATGCCTAAGAATCTGTATGCTCAGGAGTAGGGTTCCTCCCCTTTGCAGTAGGGGTTTCCCTTTTGTCCTCTTTGTGGAAATCTTACGAATTTATCAAATATATAAATCTTTGCGGAAAAAAAGTGCCCATTCTTAAGTATTCAATGCAGGCTTTACTTAAGTCTGACAGCCAAAATTTCCAAGGGCTCCCTTTCCCAGGAATATAGTGAGGCTCCTCGTAGGAGCCCAGTGGGGTTATCCACACATCAACTGCAAAGAGTAACTAGACAAGTTGCAGCTCAGGGCAACGTGGAGTCATGGGCATTTCCACTGCAAAGCTTGCAGGGCAGGACCAGCCAGTGCTGCACGCGAGAGCAGGAAGCACTTCCTTCTCCTGCACTGCTGGCGGATGCACCGGGGATCCAGGTGCCCTGCAAAGGAAGCAACTTGACCTGAATGTGGAGGAAAGAAGAGGGAAGAGGAGAAAAAAAGAGAAAAGAAAAAAATCAAGGCAACATGACATTAATGTGAGAGTGGGGAGAGAAATAGTAACTAGGAGATGAAAGAAGATGGAGGATAATTGAGGAAGAGTTGGAAGTCAATGAGAAAAACTCAGGGGATGGGGAGATGTTTGGCTGGGTGGGGGGCCCAGAGGAAAGAGGTCCTTTTGCCTGGACCCTGTATGGATGAGAAGCTGAAGGAAAGAATGAGACATGGGATTAATTTGGAGGAAGAACTACTGTTCTAACTGCTATTAGGAGAAGGCGGAGTGGGGGTAAGGGCAGAGAGAGAAACTTATGGGGGGGACAAAATTAAGGAGTGCTGACTGCTGGGGCAGTCTGGCTGGGTAGGAAGGGCACTGAGAAGGTGTGAAGCTGGCATTTCAAGGAGTGGGAAAAAACAAGGAGACTGTGACTAGATAGCTGGGCCTGCTTAAACAAGGAGAATGAGGAAATCAGGTGGATTTGGGAAGGATTAATGAGCTTCCTTGAATGAGAGAAAAAGGGGCAGCATGCAAGGAGGGGGAGAGAAGACAAGGAGATACTGGGAGTTGAACAGTGAACTTGGAAGATAACCAGTTCAAAGCAAGCAATCGTAAGGTAAGGAAATGGAGGATTGGACCATGAGGGTAGGTGAGCAAAGAGACCGGAAGACAAGAGCAACAGCTGGATACTAGGTAGGACTTGAAGGAGATCCAGTTGCAGGGGACTCCATGAGGAGGTATGCAGAAAGCCTTGCAGTAGCTGGGCAAGCACTCCCCTGAGAGGCTGGAGAGGAAATCTGCCTTGCAGCCCAAGCCTGAAGTCAGGGTGCTGTCAGGCTGCTCTCAGGGCGCTGGCACCAGGAAAGGAAATTACCAGACTCTGCATACTCAAACTGCTGCTGCAAATGCTCAGTACTCCTGTGGCTAAGGTTTGTGCACTGGCTCTGTGGGTGTCCATATGATGCTCCTTTCAGGAAGTGCAGTGAGGGAGGAGGGAGGAGCTCTACAAAACCATGCATTCAGTGGATTCAAAGCCAAGCTCTAAACCATGAAGAAATTCAATGACAGTAGCATATAAAGCGCTCTCTGCTCTGCAAGGTGTTAACTTCAGTTTACTGGCATGAGGATAGCTGAACTGCATCCTGAGGTGGTCACAGGTATCAAGTTGTGCCATAAGGGAATGGCTTTATACTGAAAGAGGGTAGGTTTTGATTAGACATAGCAAGAAAGTTCTTCACTATGAGGGTGGTGAGACACTGAAACAGATTGACCAGAGAAGTTGTGGATGCCCCATCCCTGGAAGTGTTCAAGGCCAGACTGGGTGGGGCTTTGAGCAACTATGGCAGAAGACTTGGAACTAGATGGTATTTAAGGTCCCTTCCAACCCAAACCATTTTATATGACTGCGTTCGTATTAGTCAGAGTCCTTTTAGGAAGCAGTACTCAGCTGACTCTGTCAGAAGATACCTGGCGTTACTAGAATCCTGTTGGGACATACAGTGGCAGGCAGGGCTAGAGTGTGTACATCCACACCTGAGGGTGTCCATCTACTGTGAGAAGGGAAGGAAAAGCACATTTGTCATATTCATAGTCCTATGATCAGGAAAGGTTTGTATGTATGCATGCAGCAGAGCTGGGAGAGCGCAAATGTAAGTGCTTGACTGCTCATATACACAATTATGTTTTGGAGGAGAAAAAATCAAGGAAAAGTCTTTTGAACTTTCCTTTGAACTTAAAATACACAGAGTCTGTGATGATCCCTGGACTTTATAAGAGCTCTTCCACAGCCTTTTGTTGTTCTTGGAAATACCATCTCCTGCACAAATAAACTTTGTTACCACCATAGAGACTTTCATGTTTATCCTAGAAATTAAATGATCTTTTTAAGCCATGGGGTGCTTCAGAAGAGAACCAAAACCTTGAACCTGCTTCAGTCTTCTCTGCCAAAGCCACATGGTGAGGTGAGGACAGGCCTGCTTATTAACACACGTTTCCATTAATGTTTCTTCTGAAGCTGAATATTAACTATAATGATCTATGCTGGACTAATTTGCATTAGCTGTTTTCAGATAGGGTCTACATGGGCATCTGTCCTTGAAAATCAGGTTCCAAAGGGAATATCCTTGTGTGCATCTTTATCCCTCTGCATCCTTTTGGTCCGCCATTTTGTTGTTCACAGTAACATATCCCTGTGGCAAACCTAGGTAATGCTTACCAAGAAAAGTAACAAGAACAAGGTATTTAATCTATTTCTAGCCTTCTTTAATGTGTTGTAGCTGTGAATACAAGGCAAAAAGCAACACCATATGACCATGCTACTTTGGGAATGGTCTATAAAGTGCAGCTAAAATACTTTCAAGATATTTATGCAGTGCATAAGTCACATGAATAGAGGTTTATCACAGTCAGTAGGAATGCTGGATTTTCATATCACACATTTGCTGCTTAGGATGATTACCAGGAAATTTAATTTGCACTAATTAGCCTTAGGGGAGCAAGAAATTAACTTGATGGGTATATTTCACGTTTTACTCTATACCATACCAACATGGAGAGATCTGAGTTAAAGCTTGAGTTGAGTCCTATGCTGATACACTGGACTGCAGATTTTCTAAATTAAATTAAAAAACTGTAGAAAATTAATATATGGGGGGTGAGTAGGTGGGGGGTTTTAAGAGCTAGAGTTGTAGAATCATTCAACGTATTCATTGGATTATCAGCCACTTCTAGAGAGTGTTGTAGATTTTTGTATATTACATTAATATCTAGTATCACAGCAAAAGCTTTAACAAGTCCTGATTTTCTATATTTGTATGTTTTCATCATACAGTGTGCTTTATGACTGATCATGCAATATTCCACATTGTAATGCACAGAGCAGAAACTGTTTTCACAGAACTACTGTGAAAATGCCATACTTTTTAATTTACAACACCCACTTGCAAATACATTTTTAGGGTCAGGAGCCTTTGTTTGTATGCTGGAAAAACTCCTATGAAAATAATGTTTTCAGAAGTTACTCTCAAAACTATAGAGCAGATGAGGGAGGCATGAGTCACCACACAGTCCTAACAGACAAACTAGGAACTAATAAATGCTAATCTTGCCTGTTGATGGTGACTTTTCTGTCTCATTCTTCCAAAACATGGTTTAGATCACTTGGTTTTCCCCTTTGTAAAATGGAGGCAATTTTGATGTATCCAGCACTCAGAATTACCGTAGATTGATTAAAGCATGCAAAGCAGTGAGTCATTCGGTATGGAAGTATCGGTCTATTATACACTGAAGTGTCCTGTCATATCAGGCTTGTGGTTACACCCAAATTTATCTGTAAAAAAGGAGGTGGAAAACATCAGTTGTGTACAAGATAATTGCCTTTAATGTCAGTGCTTTTGCTAGTTTGTGCGTCTGAAGAACACTTAGAAGCTCACTATTATTTGGATTTAGACGTTGTAGTACTTACCTGAAGCTGCTACTGAAGTCAGAGGTGTGACTTCAGTGAGAGTTTTGCCTAAATAAGTATTGCAGAATTGGGTACCCTGAGTCCATAGCTTGGTGTTTAAGTGGTGCGTACACACTAGTTCAAATGTCTGCGCAGACTCTCTAAGAAATACCTCTGGACTGAAGAGAGATCTCAGCTAGACCTGTGGGTAGTCATATATTGTACATCATGTATCATACTGCGTTCTCAGGTCCTTCTTCAATCCCCAGGACTCTCATTTTGCAGCAGTAGGCCTCCTATTCAATAGAGAGTGTGTGCGTGCATGTGTGTATGTATGGGTGGTTATATGTATACATGTGCCCACACACAGACAAACATATACGTGTACACAACACCAATATACAAATGTGCTTTGCCTTTTTGAATGTACAAGTATATTTCTGTAAGTGCTCACCACTTGTATTTACACATTTATGAGTAATATCCAACTTTCAGTTCTAATTGACACCATGTGCTCTTCTGTATAATAATTAGTTTGGGACAAAAAACCTTGCAGATGGTTTCAAGAGTGACTCTAACTTGCCATCAATGTAAAAAGATTAAATAAGATGAGCCCGCTGTCTCTGAATGGAATAAGCCATTTTCATTGATTTCAATGGGAGCAGGCGCAACTTCGTTTCTACAGCAGAGAACGTGTATTGTATTCGTTAAATGACAGTTTGATTTCATTGCACTTAAAATTATTCATGTTCTGTTAGAAAACGGTTTGAGATTTTATAACCTAGAGCATTTGCTGAATTCTGCTTTGTGTTTTCCTCACAGCAATTGGAAGGACCCTCATTCCTCGTTATTTTAGCACTGTCTTTGAAGGAGGTGTAACAGACCTGTATTACATTCTCAAGCACTCAAAAGAGTCATACCACAACTCATCCATCACAGTGGACTGTGATCAATGCACCATGGTCACTCAGCATGGAAAACCCATGTTTACCAAGGTAACAGGGAAGACTCAATAAAGCATGTTGTTGTTTCTCTTTTTCTTTTTCAGTGTATATAAGGGTGAAAAAAATTGGCTGTTGCATTTTTTCTGGTAGACTGAGATTATTTCTAATACTGAAAACCCTTGAAGCCTTTTAATTACTATTTTCTATATTCATTACGTGATTGAATAATTCTGTGGGCATCCTCTGTGATTCTCCCAGAGAGATTGCAAGAGAAGCACATAAAGCCAGGTTGCCAGAACCATCAGTTGTATGAATTATATTCCATCTGCCCATCTCTTTTTCTCTGGGCTTGATTTTAAAGCAACAATGAGATTTCACATTGCTGGTACCTATCGTTTGGGAAGGTATGTGTTACTTTTGATACTTACTCAGTCCAAGGGCTATAAATCTCTAGGAAAATAGTGATTTAATATAGTAGTATGCTGGTCGAAAGGGCAGTGAAGTCAATGGAAGGAGTCAATTGATTTAAACAGGCTCTGGATCAGGCAGTTAGTGAATATTCAATATTTGTAATTGATAGTGAATTATCTTCATGCACTGGCCACTTCTAGTCCTGTAATTAAACTCAGTGCCATGTATTTATAAAAAACAGTACCAAAAAGGTGGGAAATACAAACTAAAACAATCTTTTCCTTACATTAAAAAAATCAAAATTGAAATGTCCCCTCTTATAAATTAATGGGAATTTATAATTTTCCATCTTGTACCTGTTCATCTCTATGAACTTTAACCTTTGTGTGAAGAAAAGCACAAAAGGAGAAGAGGCAGCAGGAGGAGATAACCCATCCATTTTGGCCCTTGGCTTGCAGGACTGTGGAAGTTTTAGGGTCAAAAAAACTAGTGGCTATTGAAAGCATCATGACCAGGGCCCACATGTTTTACACTGTTTTAGCACATATCTGTGTCCCATCCCTCCCTAGGGTCTTCCCTGACATCTTCTTGGCTCTTGGAGTGGAGCTCAAAGAGGGAGAGGAAGCCGCTGGTGCGTGGGAGCACTGATGAGATGAGAGGTGTATGTTTAATGGTGTTATCATTCCAGCTTTTCCACTCTAGCCCCCTGTGACTTATATGGACACAAACAGAGAGATAGAGAACTGCAAAGAGACCAGATAGTCCTAGGTAGCACCTCTTTGCTACCTTCCTGTTCACCAGGAGTCATGTGTGCTGGCCACGTGCAGAGGACATGATGAGGATATACAGTAGCTGCTTCTCTTCAGAGCACCCTAAAGAGATTTGTGTCATTTCCCTTTGTGTAAGCTATAACACAATAGCAAATACAAGATGGGGTATTTTTTGGAATCAGTAAATACAACACACTTTTCTCAGTTCAGTTAGTTTATTTTACTTATCGTGGCAGAACATTACAGTGTTGTTACTTTCGAAAGGAGGCTAGTATCCAGCAAGCCAAAGAGACTAGCAGCAGGGACCAGGCTGGGTGCACACCTTGTATGAGGGGCCCACAGGCACCTCTCATACCTCCCATAGCACTGTCCTGTGTAAGCAGTGCGTCTCTCTCTCTGCCACAGCCCTGGCAGCACACAGCTTGCTTCAGCCCTGATGCTTTTGCTGCAGATTCTGACATAAACCTCTGTATCCTGGTAGAAAAGTTCAGGTGGGGATGTGATTCGGATTGTAGGAGAAAAATTAGAGGGTTTTAATGGCTGTATCTTTAATTTAAATTAAGCAAATTTAAAATAAAACACAACAGTTAGTGGAATAAGGTAGAAAAGTGTATACTACCCTCTCAGAAACAAGTTAGAGACAAATGTTTTCTCAGCTGTGCATATGTAACTTCTAGCAGAGATACTGAGGGCACAGATCTTGTACCTAAAAGTAAGTTCCTGCTCTCACAGTATCTGTGGTGGAACAAAGCAGACCTCTCACAACAAGCAGCACTCCAATGGACTGTGTAGGTCCTTAGATCAAGTCTGTATTTGTCCCAGTGGAACTATCACAAAGGAGCAGTTAGTTTTTAGTTCCACAAATGCAAAAATACAAACTAACTGTATTTGTTAATACCTGTTTCAGGTTCACAAACAACCTCAAAGCCTCAAGTTCACTGACTTCTAATATAAGGGGCTGAAACAGTCCTCATCACATATTGAATCAGGAATCTGCAGCTGTATTTTATTCATTTCAACGTTTTCCTACTCAGAGCAGCTCACTGCAAACTGCAGTATCGGACAAATGTATAAAATGGCATTTTCTTTCTTTTCCAAACAAATATGGCTAGAACATGCCTAACAGTAAGAATATGGGTAGCCCAGATTGTCTTTAGACGGCAAGAGATCCTTGTAAATTGTGAGCAAACTGGTTTTTTGCAGTTAGCGATGTTTGTATTTCCCAATAGACTGGAAGAGAGCTTCGCCTTTGCCACTCGTCTAGTGAGCACCCCATGTTCAAACCATTCTCTTCCTGCACCCAACACAGGGGCCATCAGCTGGATTTTATAGGTGAAGCCCTTGAAACTGAGGCATTTCCCAGATTTGTGTAAGCCTTAGGTTTCTTTTCAAGCAATGTGTCAGGTTTGAGAAACAGTAGTTAATAAAAGGAGAAGACTTCTAAAAGGTGCCCCGTTAGGAGAACAAGACTCTGAGCAATAGGCACAGGACCAAAGTTCGTTATCATAGGTGTGAGCAGTTGAAATTTCTACAATTAATAAGTGCAGTGAAGGGGTTAAGAAGCTATTGGTTAGTTTGAGAAATGTTCTTTTTTAGTTTTTTCCTGGCCTAGTCTAGAGCAACCACGTGATGCACTGAATGCCTGCCAGCCTCTTTCTTGTTGATCCTCCGGAGACCATCTGTGCTGGGGGCATTGATTAGAGTGTGTCTGCTGGGATTACATCTTTTCTGTTGCCATGCCAACTAATCAGCTGATTTTGGTTACCACAGAAACAAAATGTCAGAGCTCACAGTACGGTAACATGAATTCAGCACAACAGAAAATGTTTTCTTAATTGGAGACCCTTTTGATTTTTTGGATTCTATGTAAAAGGCAGCTTTAGGAAAAAAAAAAAAGCCCCATTTAAAATAAGGACTGCACTACTTTTATTGATTAAAAGCAATGCATAAAATCCTGCTCTGCATAAGGAAATGAAATTCCTTTATAAGAGGTATAAATTTTTCCCACTGTGATATGAGGAATGTGCTTCAGTTTTTCTATTAAAATTTGTTAATGCCAGTGCATAAAAAAAAAATCTGTTAAGAGCTGTGGGGTTTTGAGCTTAAGGGAAGAAATATTTGAGAAGCCTCAGGTATTGTTATAAAAAAATATTTTAAACCTGAAAGATTTTCATATTAACTAGACAATAATCAGGATCTTTGGCTTCAACACAGTAAAATTAATATGAAAGGTTTTTCTTCTGGTATTGAATCCTTATGTGTGTGCATGTGTACCCCTGTGTAATTTCTCATCATAGTGCAAGTGATGTGAAAATCAAAATCAGGGTCAAATGACAAAATAAGTCACATTAAAAATTTGAAAGCATCACTAAGGTGTGTTGAAAAGGGCAGATGAGAACCTGTTGCAAGATTCTCTTTCGTAAGTCTACCCTAATTTGTCTATGTGGTATGCCTGTTAAAATTACCTATGTGTTTTTGCAGAAACAACCAGAAGGAAAAGCTATGATGATGTTAAGTGAAATGTTAACCAGAAAAGTCACACATTGACCAAATGGGAACTAGCCAAGTCTGAGTTGGGGCTTGTAAAAAGGCTCAACAGACTCGATTGAATCTAGTTGTTGATTCAAACACCAGTTGTAGTAAAATTGAAGTTGCAGTAACCTTTTATTTTGAAAGCTGTTACACCCTATACAGCTCCACAATAGTTTTCCACTTTGAACAGAAGTTGTAAACCTAAACGTCAAATTAAAAAAAAATAATTAACAACAGAGGTAGTTAATTTTCAGACCAGGCATCATTTACAGTTCTCCACGGTACCTCTAGTCAAGATACCATGCCAGGTATGTATTTTGCACCTTAAAGAAGACCACAACCACAGCAGGTTTTCTATATAACATTGTGGACAGTCGTTTTAAAGTAATTTATTTTATTTTTCATTTCCAAGCAGTACCCACTTGCTGCATTTGTTCACACCCACCCCCACCCCATATTTTCTCTCCTTTCTTAGAGAAGACCCCTCACAAAGCTGCATGAGCCACTTTCTGTGGAAGCAGCTCTGTTGTCCATGACTGCAACTTCTCCTCTGCTCCCCTGGCTCTCAAACCTGCTGTGGCAATGCAGCTCATACAGACATGGCAGACACCCTGTCTGGCTTTTCTTGGAAGAGGGATTTATGAAAGTAAACACAAAATGAAAGAAAAATAAAAATGGGATAAAATGCCTGGAAAAGACAAGAAAACTTGGAAAAGACAAGACGTAAAAAAATAGGAAAAATATCAGGTTTGGCCAGAGGCATTCAGGGCACTGTGTGCTCCAACTGGACATGGAAGGAAAGTTTATATGCCAAGCTATTGTAAGGAAAGGACAACGTAAAACATGTTGGGAATTACTGGTTCAGCAACTTGACATCAGGTGCACACAGTTGCACCACAGCCACCTCCACTGTGAGGTTCAGTCACTAATTAGCAGTTGTGAACTGTAAGGGAAGGAGAACTGATGCAATAAATTAGATTTAGCGCAAACAATATTCCATGTTTGTAAAATACTGTAAAATCTATAGTATTATAAGTTACTGTCTCCACAGTAAGGCCTATGAAGTCATTTTCCCATATTCGTTTTTGCTCCCCAAGAGAACAAAAAACAATCTACGAGAGATAAACAATAGAATACTGCTCTGATATGTTCGAGTTTGTTTAATTGATGATACAATACCATTGAAAACAAAATTCCTGAGAATTTATTTCATGCATTTTATGTATTCTAGGTGTGCACAGAAGGACGTCTTATCTTGGAGTTTACTTTTGATGATCTTATGAGAATAAAAACATGGCACTTTACTATTAGACAATACAGAGAATTAGTCCCACGCAGCATTCTAGCCATGCATGTAAGTAATCCTTTATTCATTTGACCTAATGCAAACAGATGAAATTAGGTTTATGAAGAGCTCCAGCAAATTTCACACTCAAGGCAATTAACTATAAATATTTTGGTTTGCCTGCAACTACATCCTTTTACAAGTTTTTTCATCAGTCTCTTGTTTCTCAGTGCTCTGTTGTTGCCACTGTTGCTATGTTTTCATTTGGGTTTAGCACATAGTTTTCCTTTTAATCCCATTTTGTAATTGGCCCATTGGCTGAAAATTTGTTCTTCTTTATATGAACTGCAATTTGGTGAATTTTCATCATTGTAGGTATGAAGTCTTCAAATGAAGCAAACGTAATGTTACCCTTGCACGAGACAGAAAATAAGTATTTACCATGGATTTACTTAGAAACCTTTAGAATTTTAATTCTGATCTCTTTTTTTTTCCACAATTAATGACTTTTCTTTTGTAATTGAATGAAAACACATGCAATAGAACATTAAAAATATTAAGTATTCTAGAAGTTTAAGTCAAAATATTATAAGGTAAATCCTTGCAGAGAAGCAAAGGACAGTCTCTTATTGCCACTTCAAGTCCTGCACTTTAGAAGCATTCTGCCTAGTAGTGCTCCATATACAAAATTAATTGCAGAACTATAGTTTTATAGAGGGTAAGAAGACAGGCCTTAATATGTGCTTGTATTTTAGCATCAAGTTACTTGGCTATCCATAGATAAAGGTATATTCATAGTGAGGAATTTGAATTAACTTAAGAATCCTATGCCTTTTTGAAAGTGCTGTTACAGGCCTGAAGAAAATACCTTTGAAAACCTGCCCCATCTTTTACTGTGGAGGGCTGATCTTCTGAACTCTTCAACAGTATCCCATTCAGGGACAACAAGGATGGCCATGAGCGACATTATGTGTTTAGGGGGGCTACTGCAATTCAAAGAGAGTGGAAGCAGGTTAGCCAGCAACCAGCAGGTATTAATTTTAGTAATGAGATTGATCTCATTTTAAAGAGGAAGCTGGTCTCACAAGTAAAGCTCCTGGCTAGGGTCAGAGAAGGACTGTACTTGCATTTTTCCTGTTTAATTCGGGGAAGATAACTTAGACCAGAAAGGTTCTCCAGCCTGTGCTTAATGCCACTTATATGATCAGCTCTGCTGAAGGTGCCTTGATGAGTTCTTTCTGCTTCAGTTTCTTATCCACAAAAAGAAAGTGATACCTTCTGTATTCCTGCCTTTGTCTGCTTAGTTTGGTGGGGCTCCCAGCCAAAAAGCTGGAGGCTTAAAGCATACTATAATCCTTCAGGAAGCTCTTTGGTGGGGCTCCACTTACTTGCACCCCTGTGCATGACCTGACCTCCTAGGTCTATCTTTTGAATGGGCAGAGACAGAAGGAATATATTGGAAAACAGTCTTTATTCTGCTCCAATTTCATAATTTCCTATGCCAACAGAAGTCTCTAACTTATTACATAAATTTAGCATCAATGTATAATTTTTCCATGGGAATGGCACCTCTTCTCAGAAACACACACCCCCCACCCCCCACTCCTTCAAGCACATAGTAAAAACCAAATAGACAAAAAGCAAAGTGAAAATTCTTTTTTCCTCTGTTGTTTAGGCACAAGACCCTCAGGTGCTGGAGCAGCTGTCCAAAAACATCACTCGAATGGGTCTGACAAACTTCACCCTCAACTACCTCAGGGTAAGCACACCATAGCTGATGACTATTGTGAGCATTTTTTAAAAGTTACTGTTAGCTTAGAATCAAGGTAATGAGAGCAGAGCCTGTGTTGGTCAGGTAAGAAATGGACCTAACCCTTAATGAGGGTAAAGGAGAAACACAGAGACTGTAATAAAGATACAGCTGCTAACAATGTGCCATTAAAAATGGTAAGAATTTTATCATGGAGTCAAAGCAGAGTGTGAGTAGCCCCTGTCTTTAACAGTCTTTCTTCTCAGTTATGAATTTATTTTTTGTAAGCAGGAAATTCCCCACCATTTTTCCTCTCTGCTTCTCTGTTTCTGAGAAAATGGCAGCTCATTCTTATTAAGAGCTGCCTGTCTTCTCTGGCTCTCCGACCTCCCCACCTCTCCCAGGCAGAGGCAGGGCTGAGGCAAAGCTCAGCTCCAGCCCTTTCTGCAGCAGTCCCTCAAAGCAGTCCTCGCTTCACTTGCCTCTGGGAGCCTGAGCTTCCTTCTCAGCCTTGCGCTGAATCGAGTGTGTTTTTTGCAATTAAATAATGCATTTGTTCCCATTGCTTTTTGACCCTTAAAGTGCATTCAAAGTTTGGAAGTTTATTTTTATTTTTGAAAGTATTCCCTGATGTGGGCTTACAACGCACACACTGAAATACGGGATTGTAGAGTTCATATTTCAAGGTTGAAATCCAGATTTTTCTTATTTCTAGACATGCCATTAGCAGATACAATGAGGCAAATTGCTTAATGATACAGCAAGCTAACTTGGCCAGAATATCTGATTTCATTCCTTTTAATTGTATGAGCAATTATACAAGATGCTTTTTTAAGGTAATAAGAACACTAGAAAATGCAGTTATTTTCAGCCTAATGTAGAGCTGTACCTGACAGTCTGTATTTTAGCTGCACTTCATTCAGGTCTTTGAACCTTGTAGTACCTTGCTGATGGTTGAAGTCATACCCCAAAATGTTTTGAACTGCCAGGAGGACAGTGTGCAGGACTGAAATGTGTGGTGAGATATCTCACTGTATCCCTACAGCTTATAGACAGCCTGTGGTTGTATTTACTCTTGCAATATGATAAACCATTGATGATTGTTGCTTATGTGGTGTTAGTGTAAAAGTTACTGTTCAAATTATAGTCTGAGTTGTGCAGGGCAGGTTTGTATAACTGGAAGAAGAATATGGCATAAAACCTCAGAGGGATATTACATTGAATTAAAATTCTTGCATGCATAAATTCAAGAATAATATGTCTATGTAGTGTGGATTGTATTTCTCATGGTTCTTTTAGTCTGTGGTTTGGTACAGACAGTGACTGTTATGCTTTGGCAACATCCCTATAGCCACACTGTCATTGTCTTGTGGTGAGGCATCCTAGAGAATGTTGTCCAGAAATCCCCACTGGGGATTCCTCCTCAGTCACGCCAAGTTCTGTATTACACCCTTGTGGTAAACTGGGCAGCTAGTGGCTGGCTTAGGTAGGCTATTTCCATGTTTTTCCAAACTGTTCTGTGGTACAGGCATTACCTCACTTTTGAGGTCTTCAATCCTCTTAGCATGACCAGCAACACCAGCAAGCACGTGGCTGGCCCACACCAGCCACAGTACTCATACCTGTCCTCCGCCAGGCTCAAAAGACCATGCTGAATTTACAGCACTGCCTCTATCACTGACCTCTTCTGGGTTCTTTGTGGTATATTCTGTAATTGCTGGATGTGGCAATGCAAATGAGAAAGGCAGGGTCCCTGTTAGGAGGCAGCTGGCATCAGGCACCCATGCTGCTCCCCCATCAGCATCAAAAAAAAAGGAAAGGAAGGGGGGGAGGGAGAAAAAAATCTTCAGAAAAAGAAAACTGGGATCAAGCTAAGCACTCGGGAGATGAGCAGTGGAGTGGAAGGGGATGAAAAGATGAAGTCTTACTTTTTTTCTTCTTCCAGGCTAGTTTTGATAGCTTAACAGACAACATTAGGTCTTTGGGTGCAAAGCTTCCTCTGGCTCCCGCTGTGGTGATTCCAAAAGGAAATATTATTCTTTTTCCCAAGCCAGTCTTTGCCTTTCTCTTTCTTATGGTGAGGAATTGATCATTCTGCTCTTTCTTTTCCAGTTGTTCAGCTCATCATGGGAGCTCATATTACGTGATACATTTCCATTTTGATTTACTTCTTTCCCAATTACTTTCTTCTGTTAATTTTAGCATGAAAATCTTTTCTGCACTCAGGATTGTAAAATCATGTACTAAGAAATGTGATAAATGTGGTTAGGTTTAAGGTGTTTTGTTTCGTGAGGTTGGTTTTTTGTAAGTTACCATTTTATGACGTTGTATTCAGTCTTCCCAGTGTTTAGTAATTAGCACTGTTAGATGGGTTTGAATAAGGATTTGAAACTAAGCATAAAAATGATTTTCCTTTTTTTTTGTTTTCTGCTGCACACAGCAAAGGCTTGTGATACTCATAAGCAAAAACTTCACTGATGGGCAGAATTAATCATTTTTATCCTCCAACATGCACACAGCAGCAAGCTGTGCTGCAGTCTCTTTAATGGCAGAATTTAAACCTGGATTTCAGATGGTTGTGATATAAAGGTATAGCCTGTGTTTTTTATGCTCTAGACATCACAGAATGCTAAATCATTGCTAGTTGGGATAATTGCAGTTGCTGGCATGTAAACCTCCATTCCAGAGTGCCACATGCCTTTAGAGCCACAGCTTTGGATGCATGCCCTGGTTTGTCTTCATTCACTCCAAATAAAGCTGTCCAGCATAGAAGAACATTGATTTTGTAAATCATATTTAATACAAATTTAAAATATATCTTCTTGGAGCCTGAAAATGAAATGTTTTGTCCTGTGTCATTTGCCAAATGCTCTTTCTCTCTGTTTTCTCTGGCTCTGTGTAAAACCATAGGCTTCCTTTCTTTCTACTTACTAGTTTGTTTTGTTCCATCATAATTGATTACCTCATCAATGGGGTCAGCAGACTTTGCTGTAGCTGCTGACTAGGAGTTGAATAGGCTGTCTCAGAAATAATGAGCAAAACCTTGTAGGTTTTAAATTAATATCAAGCTTTTTAAAGTGTAATTTCTCATCAAGTCAACAAGTAGTAGATATTACGAACTATCAGATAATAAGACCAAGACCTATATCCTAGTCTCAGTCAGTATGAGTCCAGGAACAAACAGGAATCCTGCACAGAGTATGAAGATGGAGATAATGCTCAGAAGAACAGTTTCCACCAAGCTACAATAATGTAGTCCCCATGCATTATCTTATTTTTTTCTATGTAATTTTCTAGTTGCTCAGCTATGTTACTTAGATCTTCGATGCATAATGGATTTGAATGCGCTCTAAAACTGGTAGCTTTATACCTGCAGCACTATTCACAATTTGGAGTTCAAATGTTTCTTGCTGCCTTCTATACAATGATTTATTCTCGTGAAATTTCTAACATTATAAAAAACCAGCCCCTACTGTCAATTAGGCAGGCCTACCTGGCCTGAGCCTTGAAATACAGTTGTATCTTGCCCGGTTGGCTTCCAGAATTTGCCTTTCTTGCACTGCCTGGTTTGGAGTGATTTTTCTAGAGCTTTTCCTCATGTGTAGCTATTGCATACCCCCTACACTGTGATCTGCTCTAGTAGCCAGTTTATTGGTGTAAATGGAGCTGAATCTGCCTCTGCCCTTTGCAAAATGAGAGTTAGTGTGGCAGAGCCCTCCTACTCTGCATCAGGGGAGGTATCTAGGCAGGGGAACACACAGTCCGATTTCCCCTTACATCCTGTGTAGCTATATTAACCAAGGCTTATCTGAGCTACAAATTATCTAATTTGTTTGTTTTCCATATAGCAAATAATGAAGTGTTACTATTGCAACACAGAGGACAATATTTTCGGAATCCCCACTTTCACTAATTTAGTTCCTCACTGGACACTTTTGGATTTCTTCTGCTAGGAGGGTAACACGAATTATTTAATGGGACATAATTTTCTAAAGGCAATACTTACATTATAATCAAATACCATTTGTATGTATATCCATTGTGTATGCAAAATTTTCTTTTGCACATGTAAAATAGACATGCATGCAGCAGTTCCCTTTAATGTGCAGGGAAATTTGCTTTTCTAAATATGGCTTCATGCATGGAAAGAATATAAACTCAAGTCATTTGGGTGTCATTTTTCTCCTAATATGTAACATTTTGTGGCAGCTATTGGGTCAATATTTTACAGCTGTTTGTGTATCTTCAGTGAAGAAGGAGAAAGATTATATGCAAGGGTGTTAAGGATGCAAGTCATATACTCAGGGAAAAGAAGTCACCCATGCAACACAAATTCGTTTTCCTTTGTGAGTTACATTATGGCATCATCTAACTACATCATCATACATTGTCTTTCTCACAGACTCCACAACGCATGGAGTGGACAGGATGAGTAGCCCTCAGTCAGTAACAAGTGCTCCAGTGTATTCTGAGAAAGTGAGGGCCTGATTTTGCAGAGCATTTATATACCAATAACAAAATATACTAATAACAAAACTGTTGGCCTTGGATGCATTCTGCTGTCTCGGGCTACGTATACAGTTGGTAAAGGAGCAGCTGGTGGTTCTGGGAACACACTGGTGAAAATGCTTTTTCCATGACTTGGTACTATAGTAGAGCTTGGGGACAGGGGCAGTTTGTTAAAGCAGCATTAGGTTTCTCTAATCTCATCCTTTCTTGTTCTGCAGTTCCCTGATTCATGTTTCTGCTGCGGCCCTATGTCTTCAATAGATATCAATGAAGTCCTACACTTTGTTTACTTTGTGCTGTGCACTGAACTGGGGATGCTAGGAGAACAGAGTGTATGATCATGTAGCGAGGTCTGTGGGAGTGTTAAGGCCAGGTTGGATGGGGCTTTGAGCAACGTGGTCTAGTGGAAGGGAGCCCATGACAAGGCGGGGACTGGAACTTGGTGAGCTTTAAGGTCCCTTCTATCCCAAACCATTCTATAATTCTGAGATACTGTATCC